CCCGCCTTAAAGGGGCCGCGCACGGCGGGGACGGAGCGCAGGTGTGCGGACAGGTGGACATGTGGACAGGTGGACATGTGGACAGGTGGACATGTGGACATGTGGACGTGCGGACAGGGGCTGTGTGCAGCACGTGGAGGGGCAGGGAGGTGCCAGGTTCCGCGCACACGCGCGGCTGGACAGATGTTGGCGGGGGCAGACGCGCGGCTCCAGATGTGCACAGGCTCCCCGCGCGCACAGGGACGGGACACGCGCGTGCCGCGGAATCAGGGAATTTTTAGGGTGGAAGGGAGCTCCGGCAGGGACACCTGGAGCAGGTGGCACAGGAACACGTCCAGGTGGGTTTGGAATGGCTCCAGACACCCCAGACCCTCCCTGGGCAGCTGTGCCAGGGCTCTGCCACCCTCCATGGACAGAGCTTCGTCCTCACGTCGAGAGGGAATTCCTCGTGGTTTAGTTCGTGGCCATCGCTCCTGGTCCTGGACGGCGCTGGGAACAGCCTGGCACCGTCCTGTGCCAGCCCGTGGAGATATTTATAGGGATTGATGGGATCCCCTGTCAGCATTCCCTTCTCCAGCCGGGCCATGCCCAGCTCTCGCAGCGCCTCCTCAGCAGGGCGATGCTCCAGACCCCGCTTGGGGCTGGCTGGGCAGGAGGGGAGCGGCCCCGGGGGGGAGGAGTCTCTGTGACAGGTATATAAGGTGAGGTGAGGCTCAGGGGGATGATCCTGGGAAGAAGTGTTGGTGTTTGTTGGAGGTAAGGGAATGGGGGATCTCCACTGGAGCTCCCCACCGTGAGGCTCCTGGCTGGAGATACCCTTGGAGCCCCTCCTGGCTGGAGATAGCCGTGGGTCAGCAGGGCTGGGGGTGCTCCCATGGGTGTCTCTGGCTCCCAAAGCCCTGGTTGCCCTCTCTGAGGTCCCAGAGCTGGCCCAGGGCTGGTGTGTCACCTTTGCTCCAGCGCTGACTCAGGCTCCCACGTGTCCCTTTACGCAAGAGCCGTGCTGGCAGGGGACTCTGGCCGGGCGGCCACCGCTGGCCTGGCCCTGGCCAAAGGGCAGGACCAGCCCCTCTAAAGGCAGCGGTGACAGAGCTCAGGCTCAATTCTGCCACCGGAACTGCCAGTGGGGACATTGGAGCAGACAGGAGCTGAAAGGAGTGGAAGATCCCCTGGAGCTGAGTGGAACGTACTGGTGGGAACAGGTTTTGAGCGGACAGGAGCTGACAGGGACCTCTGTCCTTCCTCCCACAGGCTGCTCCGTGCTCCCTGGAAGATGGATTACGCCAAATCCCTGAGCCAGCGCCTGGCTGCCCCCGTGTCCAAGTAAGTGCCATGGAGCCCCTGTCCCCAGGACTGGGGGGACATCCCACCAGAGCCCTCCCTGGGTGCTGGCTCTGCCAGGGGGTTTTGCTGGCTCTCAGAACATCCCAATCCCTGCACCCCTTCCCAGATGTGTCTCTGCCAGTGCCTCCATGACCCAGCAGCTGCTGGCAGGCCCGGCCCCACCGTCCCGGCCCTACCGCGTGTGCAACTGCGACCGCAGCCTGCGCAAGGGCGT